GTGGTCCCTGGTTAAAAAAAAAAGGCTGGGAACCACTGCTATAGGTAAAGGTTTCCCCTGACATTAAGTCTAGTCGTGTCCAACTCTGGGGTATGGTACACATCTCCATTTTTAAGTACAAGAGTTGTCCGTAGACACCTCCAAGATCATGTGGCCAGAATGACTGCCTAAAGTGTCATTACTTTCCTGCAGAAACAGTACCTATTGATCTACTCACATTTGCATATTTTTGAACTGCTAGGTTGGCAGAAGCTGGGCCTAACAGCGGGAGCTCACCCCACCAACCTTTTGATCAGCAAGTTCAACAGCTCAGTGGTTTAACCCGCTGTGCCACCGGGGAGGGGGGGGCATTTAATACCCTATACATTTAGCAAAATATAGTTTGATTTTCTCAAGCTTTTAATTATGAATACTGTAAACATCTGTGATAGAATATTTGCAATTGTTCAAATTAATATTCAGTTTATTTATGATTCCTTTTTTTAATTTGTTAATTTTATTATTGTAAGGGGATTTTTGTCAGCAGTTCTGGAAATGGTTTTACACTGTAAAACGGGATATAGTTGAGCCCTGTCCTCTACCCTAAGTTAGCTTACTTTGAAAACAAAGCATGCCTGTTCTTAGCAACCAATAAATGGCATCTATTTTGCATCTTCACAGCAAAAAGAAAAATTATTATAAGCTACAGTGGTATTAAGAAATATTTAATTCCCTAGCTGAACTTATCAATTTATCTAATGAACTTCTTTGCAAAGAGAGAATTAGCAAATTTCCCTGCAAGGCTAGATTTAGTCATGATGGGAACCACAGTCCAAGAATGCCTACAAAACTGAGTTCTTCATTCTCATTTTAATGGTAGGAAATATTTCAATAATAAAACACAAGTCAAAAGATGTAAGTCACAACATTCTCCTCTGATTCTTGTGATCTGTAGAGTATCTTCTAAATCAAACTTATTTAGCTCTGTTTACTCGATATCACATTTGCCTTTGGTTGGAGGTTGTCATAATAACATTAAGTAGAAAGAAGTATCCATTTCAAGTTTGCATTATCTGTGAAAAACACAGTTATATCACAAGAGCAAAAAATATATCATGTCAACAGGATCAGGAAGACAGACAGTAAGTGGCATGCTTGATCAATTATTGACGAGCTTTTTGCTGATGGGATCAATACTAACAATAGAACATTACATCTCATTGGGAAGAATTATTAAACCAGTGCAAATAAATCACAAATGGACAGTTCACAATCTGCATTCAGACTTGAGGAGGAATTTCTTATATCCTATCAAGGGCTCTGAGAGCACCCCCTGCCTCCCAACCACTGATTTTAGTAATAATACACCTCAAAGACAAATCGACAAATCTCTTCCTCTGTGTTGTCAATAGTGTTGCATAGTACCAGGACAACAGTTATGTCACTTCTCAAAGCACACTTTTATTAAATGCTGCTTTCATAGGAAGAAAGAATATCTCTCTTTGAAAAGAAGAGACTTCTTTTTCTGACAACTTAACATGGAAGAAAAGCAAACCACTAGTGCAAAACAAAGAAAAGGCTAGGATAAGAGAAAGAGTACACATTCTGCCAAATCTATATCTATCTTACTAACTTCATGTGGAATACAGGAAATTAAGGAGAAAGTCCTCCACAAAATTTCCTGGAAAGGCACAGATAAGAATGGAAGTTTGTTGGTCAGGAGTGCCTGGGTGGTCCATAACAATACGAGTTATTATTACCAGTTGTTTCATGGAATTACTGCAGTAGTGGAATGTTTAGAAGGTTGCTATTCATGTGGAGGTTTCTAAAATATCTTCCAGTCTGTTCAGCCATAGAACAGTTATTATTACCCCACCTCCGAAATCTCCTGAAATCATTGAAAATAATATTTTGAGAGGCTGGTGGGAACAGGGTGCTTAGGGCAGGGAAGCTGATGTTTTGCTCATTCTCAAAGTCCTCAAGAAAACTAGTGAAAGATTCAACTGCTAGAAGGCTATAAAATGGCCACACATGAAATCTTTCTCCAGAAACCCTTCTCCTCATTGTGGTTTGTCACAATTTGGAATGAAAAGAAAATTAAATTGTGGGCAATGTCTATAAGGTCAGTCTGTATTGTGGTCAGATCAATGAACTGTGTGCCTTTGGGACACACTATCATCTCTCTTATATTAGCAGTTGCATTTTCTCTCATGTGACTGGTGGTAGTACATGATCGCTGACCTGAGTTGATGGTAGCAAGTACAAATACTTTTGTTATGTTCACAAAATCGGATTACAGCACTCCCCGAGTTACAAACAGCTGACTTACAAACAACTCATAGTTAAGAATGTGAGTGAGACAATATGAAGTGAGAGAAATCTACCTCTAAGGAAGGGAAATTCAGTCATGTGAGAGTTATCATGGTGAAAAAAGGTATCTCCACTGAAGCTTTATCCCCAATCCTAGTTTCCATAACCAGTTACATATTTCAGAATCTAATTGTCACTGGGACAGAAAGTGAGGTGAAATCTTCTGAACAGGGGCAAAAACAGCAAAACAAACACCACAGGAGTGTTAACCTTTTCCTATGCTATCCAAAGTGTGTGTATGTGTGTGTGTGTACACACACACACGGCTGGAGTTACACTTTAATTCAAACCTATAGAACCTATCTTATTCATTACTTGGGGACTTCCTGTACATTAAAAGCGTTTGAGGATGCAAAGGTTTGAGAAAGCAAGATTTCCTGGGTGAGATAAGAAAGGAACTGGAGGGTAGCTACTATTGTGGTGATAGCAAACATTCTTCCCACTCCTGCACAATGAATGGTGCATAAGCCTATCTGCCAGATACTTTCTGAAGCACTTCCCAGAGAAGAAAATATAAATGTTGTTGGTTTCAATGGGGTAATCAATCTGAATCCTATACAATATAATTCTGTTCTAGTATGTTGCCAGACACTTTAGATTATTACTCCCCAAGCTAGAGAATTAAACTAAGATGACTAAGCAGGGATATATTGCAGTTGTTCTTAGAAAACCCATGTCTGGCCATACTCCTATATGGTTACAATTGCACTCTCTATCTTCATTTTCTTTTCTTTTTTTCTTTCTTTGAATACGATTTTCCTGTTTCTTGGCAGGAGGTTGGACTGGATGGCCCATGAGGTCTCTTCCAACTCTATGATTTTATGATTCTACAAACAAGTAAGTGCTGCAAAAAAACCCTGCCAATTTGTGTTCTACTTCCCTATTTTAGGAAAACCATATGGAATGTTTAGCTATTTTATGGCAATATGGACAAAAGGCAGACAGATGACATGTGTTTAGTAATTATCACATCACATAAGTGGACATACTCAAGCTTGCGTTCCTAGCAAATATTCTCTGGATTTTAATGAAAAGAAAGTATCTATATAATATCGATATTCCTGATGCTTCTAATTTAAATTCATCAAACTTATATTGTACAAAGGGTAGCTGGATTGTATCATGATAGAAAATGTATTACTATACGTTATTATCATAACCTGATAAAATGTACTCCTTAAAAATAGTGCTTGGGGGCGGGGGTTGCTATTTTTCTCCTAAGAGGCACATATAATAAAACATAAATTGCTTTTTTCAGCATAGTATTCACTCTTACTTTTTAAAACTGTAACACAGAATGCTGTCATGCATTAATAAAGGCAATATAAGACATTACAACATGGAGAACAGTTTCTATAGAACAACACTTAATCACCCACAGCAGGCCACAGACTACAGACAGAAGGTTAATCTTGTCAAGGCAGCAAACCACACAAGCATCCCAGAATGAGGGATTTAAGTGACTCAAGTTTATTGTCTAACTTTGACAAGCAACTGTGGCAAGACCTCATTAAAAATAGATTAGTTACAGCATACATAACATGTTGCCACAAGTCAAAATTACTGAATAAATATAAAAATTCTCTCTCTCTCACCCTGCCTCTGAGGATCAGAACAAAGTTTAAAAGTGTCAAGTAATTTAACATCACCTTTACATAGGAAGGCAAATATTTGCTCCCAAAATTCATTGGTTTAGGCAAAAATGTGTGTGCCATTAGGAAGGGGTAGAGAAGAACAGCCTTCTAAACCCATTCTTAAGGAAACATTTCCACATTTTTAAATAATGTGCTTCAACAGAGAAGAATAGAGGCACAAAGGACTTGGTCATATGAATTTATAAAAACATGCGACCATCTCAGAATGCACAATGAAGATCCTTGTTTCAAAATACCTTTGTATTCAAATATATATCTACAAGGAGAGTGAAAATATGGCTATGCAACAGGAAATAATAATAATAATAATAATAATAATAATAATAATAATAATAATAATAATTTTATTCACTTATTTCCAGCCTTTCTTCCAACAATGGTACTCGAGGTAGCTAATAACATATTAAAACAATGCAAGGTCAATAAAAGCAAATGTAAGACTGAAAAAAAGAGAAACACATCATACGTTAAAACCATTTAAAATATTAATAATTCATTATAATTTGCTACATAGAAACCTTTTGAAAAATTAAAACTAGCACTGTGCAGAATTAGGAATAATGTAATTTACTGCTGACTGCTCAAAACCAACAGGGAACCATTTTGTAAGTTATAATACTTTAAATTCTGACCGTAGAACATTCAAAGTTAAGTGAAATGAATGTAAGAAAAACATAAAGAGCATTTCACCTTTCAAAATCCTGTTATATATTTTTGTAATAAAAACTAGACCAAATTGTATTCAATTTATATCACTATAAATCACGCATGGGCAAACTTGGGCCCTCCAAGTATTTTGGACTTCACAACTTCCACAATTCCTAACAGCCTACCAGCTGTTAGGAATTGTGAGAGTTGAAGTCCAAAACACCTGGAGGGCCCAAGTTTACCCATGCCTGCTATAAATGCTTCAACTTGGAAACTTGTGGCTGTGAAAATGTTGGTTTTAAAGCAGCAGACTGTAGAGGGTATAGCTCTGACTGAGCTATCATTTACCGTGCTTCTGATAGGAATCTTCTTTGGTTCTGGGGTTACATCCTGTGGAACAAATTTCACCGGCTCCTTAATCTGCCTCCTTGATCGCTTAGTTCCATCTGGTAAAGTTTCCATGGCAATGTCTGCTTCCATGTCACTGCTACCTGCTTGGTCACACTCCGAACACTGCCTGGAAGGACCAAAAGAACAAAACAAACCCCCAAAACTGAATATAGCAGTTACCAAATGCAGCAAAACATGCAGACTGAAAATCCTAAATTACAGATGAATCCAAGGCATTTTTAACAGTGTAAAAGAGGACTTCTTTGGGGCAACTTTAGGGGAACCTATATATATATAAAACAATGCTTTGGGGCTGCAAGCCTTTGCTCACGTGTGAAGACAAGAGGGGTAGGCTATGTAACTCAGCAACATTCTTCTCTCCCGTCCAAAACTTAAAACCCTATATTTATAAAAAAAATACTGTTCTGTGTATATCATAGACTCTAAAATGTATTCTCTCCTGCTTTATCACTTGCTGCTCTTTCTGATCTTTATCAATGGCATCAATGCTGAACATTCTTGCTGGGTGAAAACTTCGAATCAATAAAGAATCACTTTTAGGGATGGGCAAAAGGAAATAATCTCTTCAAGGGTTGTATAGGATTCAAATATACATTTTCTTAATTAAAAAAAACTCAATGAGAGGTCATTTAATATAGGATCATAGCCTGCTGAAAGAAAGTTAGATTAACATTGGTAATCTGAAATGCTTTAGTTACATTACATCACATCACATTAGAAAACTAAGAATTGTTGAGAGAGATGCTTTAGAAAGACACTTTTTGTAAGAAGTACAATGTTAGCTTAAATAGGTTAATTTGTTAATATTTCTGAAAAAAGATGACTCAGACTATAAAACATCTACTGGAGGCATTAGGAAAGTGTAGCACATATTATGCTGCTAAAAAAGAAAAAAAAATCTGCAGCATCTTAATGAGACATTGCTGCTGTCTCTCAGACTATGACTCTGTAAATACAATTTCTAGAAGAGTATGTTTTATTTAAAAGTCATAATGAAATCAATAGGATGAAGAATAGATGTAACCCATACTTACCCTCCCTCATGTTCTCTGATGAACTATATCTTAATCATTCATGTTGTAAAGCTAAAACAAAGTATGATGCTAAGGACTTGTAACCAGTGATGTGGGTTCTTAAAGATAAGACTAGTAAAGTGAAAATGGCCACATATGGTTATATTGCACTCCACTGTATCCCTTATTCTGCACTGCTTTTCTTTTGATTATAGAGTGTGTGTCTTGAATTGCCACATATATTCATGTATTAGTTGAGGTTAGATCTGGGGCCCAAAACTATGGATTTTTATATGACCGATGGATAAAAGTCATTACACCAATATTGCTCTAAGGAAGTCATCATCCCTATTTCCCCAGCAGACATTCAAAAAGGCCAGAAGGAGTGCCAAGAGAGTAGAGGGAATCACTGCTTCTTTTATGTTCTCCTGGGATAGACTACTACTACTCAAGAAATTGCAGCTGCCATAATCATAACTCTACATGAGCAAAGGAGGGAACTTTAAACGTCTCTTGACATACACATGCATACACACACATAGTGAAAGGAGATTAAAAAACCTTTATTTTTCCCTCTTCACCAGGCACTGCCCACTGCTCACTGATCTTGTGGTTAGGTGCATCATTCTGTCTAAAACCTTCGACCATTTCACTATAAAATACTTAAAAATTAATGAAATGTAACACTCTCCCTCTAGCAAACAGAGAATATTAGACCTTATGAAATGGGAAAAGTACATGGTCATTACCTATAAAGGCCTAAACGGTTCAGGTCCAGACTATTTGCAGAACCGCATCTCCATTTACAAACCGGCATGTGAACTGCAAACTGTGAAGGAGGCCCTACTCTCAGTCCCACCCCCATCTCAAGCAAGGCTGGTGGGAATGAGAGAGGGGGGCTTCTCCATGATTGCTCCCTGTCTCTGGAACTCCCTCCCAAAAGAACTAAAAACTATCCCCTCTCTCCTTACCTTTAAAAAGCTGCTAAAATACATCTATGCACTCTGGCGTACAGAGAGGAGGAAGACTAATATGTTTCAACATACGTAATATCGTCTAGATATATTAAATCCTGTCTAGATACTGGAATTGATCTCAGCCTGTCAGTTGTTGGTAACCATTTTACCACTTAATTAAGGTTTTCGTTGTTTTGAATACCTATTCTGTTTAAATTCATATTATGTGATTATGTCTGTTAGGGCTATCAAGTTTTATTTTTTGGGTTAATTTCTATTTGGTATTAAATTTATAGTAATGGTGGTTCTATTTTCTTTTATGTGTCTTGTTTTGATGCAATTTGGTAATGTGTCTTGTTTTTGGCATTGAATGTTTGCCATATGTATTGGAAACCACTCTGAGTCCCTTTAGGGAGACTGGGTGGTCTACAAATAAAGTTGTTGTTGTTGTTGTTGTTATTATTATTATTATTAGAAACACAACAAAATTAGTACACAGCAAACAAGATCACTATGCTGGTTGTTATATTGGATCACATGTCGGACACTTCCCAAGTGTCTAGGACTATGTGATGTATCGGTGAATAATGCGTGCAGATCCCAGTAGGGTGGTCTTCTGCAGCTGACAGAAGGTAATTTTCTCAGCGCTGATTGTGTTTCAGTGCAGGCCAAGGTCTTTGGCACTGCATCCAGTGTGCCGATCACCACTGGGACCACCTTGACTGACTTGTGCCAGAGTCTTTGCAGTTCGATCTTTAAATGCTCATATCATGCCAGCTTTTCCAGTTGTTTCTCTTCAATTCTGCTGTTGCATGGGATTGCAACATAGAGAATCCATACTTGGTTTTTTAACACGATCGTGAGGTCAGGAGTATTGTGCTCCAAAACCCTTGTCAGTCTGAATTTGGAAGCCCCTGAGTAGTTTGACATGTTCATTTTTATTTTTATTATTCATAGCAGAAAGGTTCCTCAAAGGGGGTTACTTTGCATGAGCAGCCACTCATTTGGGTAGGAAAATGATCAGACATGGAAGGAAAAGGTGAACGTGCTCTCTGGTTTAAGTACTCAATTGTTCACTCATACATACAACCGCTCAAGTAAAAACAATGTCAACACATGGCAAAACCCACTGGGATCCATCCTGCTATGACTTTTGATCATCTCCCAAACATACACACACGGTAGTTCTGAAATGGATAGTTTGATTTCAGATGCCCTGCTAGCCTACAATATGCACTGAACATTTTTAGAAAGGAAATATATATCACATTTGCAGGACTAAGCAACCTCTCACCAATCTGCCCTGTCTTCCAATCAGGCCCTGCCTCCCATTCCACCTTGATTCTGAAACACATGCAAAAAATCCAGTTTTCCTAAAATTGTGGAGTAAAATGTGAAACCAGACATATATGGTAGGTTCCTACAGCACTTGAAACAAGGTAAGCAAGATATTTTTTTTTACCATTTGTAGACAACCCCAAAGATTGATATCTTCCTACACTGAGTTTTAAAACATGAAATAAAAGGGTTAATCTTAACTAATTGCTAGCACAATATTTACAAAACACAAACATGCGATGAATAAAAAAAAATGAGAGCTGTGAACAAGGAAATGGAGAACATGAATTAACTACTGATTCATTTCAAATGTAACGAAGACAAGAATCATCTAGTTAGCAAAAGCTTTCTTTCTAGATGTGGTTTCTTTAACTGTAAATGTAGATATTTTTGTGTTTATTCCCCAGCAATTATGATCACAGATGTGCATCACTAGAGCAATTACACAAAATCTCTTTGCTCCCCTCCCCAAAAATCAGATTAGGAAAGTAACTCTACAAGCTCATTTTGAGAATTACTACCATCTACCACTATTGTCAACTTCACATTACATCAATGGGGGGGGGGGGGATTAAGAATTTGGGACTCCATCTATAAGATTTATAACTGATTGATCTGATTCTCCAAGAGTTAATATGAGAAACATCTGAAACAGTAAGTGTACTTTAAAAAGCAGTGACACCATTCTGTTGAGCTTCACATTTATATTAAGGACCGCATTGTATAACCTTTCTCCTGATCTTGAAAAGAATTTACAAAGACACATCTAAAGATGAAAAGGACGCAATCAATAAGTCTCAATTTCTATGTTATAATCCTATTCCACCGAATATACCCTAGCTAAATTAAAAGTGAAAGCTACGTTTCTGATCAGAAGTGTAGCTGAAGCATGAAATTCACAGCAAAGGCAGAGAGTTTATTGAAAGAAAGGCCTTGCTGTCTTTCTGACCTATTACCATTGAAATATTCAGTCCGTGTCCTCTTGATCTGATGACTTAAACAAACATGTTCAATATGATTAAAAAGCAAAATAAAACTAGCCAGTAACAGGGCTGACCACTGAAAGTGAGATTTGCTTATGAAAACCAACTTGTTATATCTGCTGACGAAAGGAGTTCCCCGAAAAGAACTGGGGGGAGGGGTGTCAACACTGTCTTAGCTCTAACACTAACACACAAGCCTCAGGGGTCTGTAATCTTCCTCCAGCAAATATTTTGGCAGTCTAAAAGGGTTCGCAGTAGCAAGAGGAGAAAGCCAAGTGGGGCATGCAGGGGGAATGTGGAGGAAGGAAGAATCTATCATATCCTGGTTTTACTGATGGATTTTTTTCTATCTACAGAAGCTCATTGTTAGATCTTGGCCAGTGAATTTATAAAATGGAAGACTCGGAAAGATCAATGTATTATCAGAGATTTAAAGCACATACTTATACATGTCTATTAATAAGTAATCCTCGTTGAGTTTGATGAGCCTTAGATTCCAGTATGAAGATATAATACTGTAGCCTTGGAAATAAAATTATTTTACCTAAACATTATTTTACCTAAACTAATCACATATAACTTCCACAATATAACACTCAGGAAAAGTTAACAGAAAGGTTGAAGAGAGCATGAAGAGAAAGACTACATTACAAATGAATTGACTCTGTCAAGGAAGCCATGGCCCCGACTTGCAAGACCCAAGCAGGTCCAATAATAACAGCTTGGTGGCTTCTAATTCAGAGGATTGCTGTTAACCATGACTTCATGGTCAACACTGTCATGATCAGATCCCAGTGAATTATTCAATAAGTGTATTTAAGACAGCAGTCTAAAGAATAAGTTTTGGAGTCTGGTAACACCAGCTTTTGTCTATGGTTAAATTTTCAAACATAAAATCTAAATATATTTGTGTTCAAGTTGAACTCATGTATAAGTTGAGGAAATATTTTAGGAACAAAATAATGGCTTTTGATATGACCCATAGATAGATTGAGTCATTCCACAAAAAAGAGGAAAACGTCAGTGCTGTCTCAGGAGGCCAGTTGTCTATAGTCACCACTATCACTATTTTTCCACCCAGGAATTCAAAAAGGACTTTCACCACTCTACTCAGAGAAGGAGTTGGTTCTTTTTTAAATAAAAGGCACAGTATTAAATCATCCCTTTTCTGAGAAGAGTGAGAAAAGGCAAGAGCTTATTCCATCTTGGGAGAACCATTGTAAGCACCAAAAAGCAATAGATGCTAACCCTATTTTCCTGCCCAGGCTTTCAAAAAACAGAAGCGGGACTGGAATGGAGAGTAGAGGTTGTATATGTATATCTGTGCTTCTTTTACGTTCAAGTTGGCATTCCACACAAAGAAGGGAATTGTTCCTTTTCTGATAAGAGTTAAGGCATAATATTCATACTGATCCATGGATAAATCTATCCAGGTTTCTTGACCCAAATTTCTATACTTATATACAAAGACAGTAATAGCAAACGAATATAGACGTTAGCTGATGCTTTTCCACTGTATAATTCAGTATTTTCTTAAGTGCAATAATGGTAGAGCACATACTGATTAAGACATACATTTCTTATATGATAATGTAGAATATAATATTATAATATATTACATTATTAACTTCCTTTTAAATGTATTTCAATGATTAGTATTCAGCTGTGGTAACATCACATTTCTTCTCATGACTGTGTACCATCATCCCACCTTAATTCTGGTGAAATGTTTTGTTAACATTTAGCAAATTTCTCTTAACTGGGAAAAAGAAAAGTTGCAGAATTCCCTTCTGGTGATATACTTGTGCCAGTCCTATATAAATGGACTGGCACAAATCTTACACAGGATTAAAAAAAAACTCTGTAAACAAAAACTTGATCAAAGGAGGGAAATATTTCAGTTAAGCATTTATAACGTAGAATTGATATGCAATCAAATGCACATTTTAAAAGTTTGTGAAGGTCTCAAACTGATAGAGAAGAAGATAGGTAGAAGGCAGATTATAGTGCCCCAGTAAGTAATGTAACGCATGTACAATATTCTTACCAGTAACTGTTTTTAGTCTTCCTTGGCATCCTTGAAAGTGGAGGGTCCAGACATCCAAGATGATAATGGAGTTTACAAGTATCACACAGCAAAAGGAGATGTTGATCATGGTTCTTCTTGCAAATCCCACAACTTGGAAATGCAGGAAAAAAGTTTCATTTGAGATAGTGCATATACTTTACGGAATCATCTCAATGTTTACATGGGATGAGATCCAGAGAACTCCCTGAGCTAGCAGAAGACACTTCTGCTAGTGCAAAGGGTGAGGTCCCCAGTTTCTGATGGTTACCCTGTCCAATAATAGCCCTTTGCACTATAGCCCAATGCTCTGGAGGCTTTGCTAAAACTTTGGAGTAGCCTTTATGTAGTGCAAGGTACTATAACAGGAAGGTGACCAGAAATCTCTGCTGTGTAAGTGGACCTCTGCACTTCTCTGGATCCAATATATTTATTTATATTTCTCTAATAGATGTTGGGTATTTATAACTTCTAGTACACAATTTAGAATAATGTATTAGAAATTAACTAGCATTGAAGTGTTGGCATGAGACATAGGAGACCTCAATATAATTAGAATTGACAGCTTTCTGTGGATAAAACCTTCCCACCTCAGGTATTTATCTGTAAAGCAAGTCTTTGCTTTGAATAGAAACATCACAGTTTATGATGATGATACAGTATAATAGAAAATATCGTTGCATACTATGAGGGATGTAGAACTATGAAATGTATTGTTATTCTAAATCAGGAAAGAATAGGAAATAACTCATGTCTTGTCAAGAGTCAAAATGTTATAGGTTGGATCCAAACCTAGTCATGCTTAGAATAAACCCACTGAAATCAATAGAACTTTTTCGTCATGATTTGTTTGCCCCACTAACTCAATGCATATATTGCGAGATTTGAATCCAATTCTATGCAAAAACATAAACAAAATAAGTAAGGAACAAAACAGTTGTGACAAAAAGCACTGTCTTTCTTGGACAAGATGTGCACGTAAAAATTCCAATAATTTCTGATAAATTATATAGCAACAATGAACAAGAGAACATCAAGTGAGAAACTGGTTTGGTAGACAGGGTCATACAGGACAAATTAACATTCAATTGTGCTAATTCAACTCTTCATAAAATTATGAATACTAGGATGAAAAAGATAAAATTTGGGTCATACACTGAAATGAAATGTGAAAAGTCTCATAACAAGGATTTTTTCATATCAGGGGTAACTCACATGTAACATTCATCATCAATCATGGCAATGACCAATAACTTAAATTGATTTTTTTAAAAACCAAATTAAGATGCTGATTTTCAACTTTGAATTATTTACAATTAAATGGTTTGGAGCCCAAAATATCTCAGAGTAATGCCTCCTCCCATGTCATGTTGCATGTGCTTTATGATTTCTACAGGATCACCACTGGAAAAATGAACTACACATCTAACTCCTTGAGAGAGGTATGGTTGGGTTCAATTCTATGCCCTTTTTGATGCTAAATCAAGATGCCCATATTTGCACAGGAGCTCTAAGAAAATCAGTATCTTGAGATTTTTACATTGTAGTTTCAATTTCAATCTACATTGCTTTGGATGACTGGTCAGCTGCTTATTGTTGGCTTGCTATTTGAAACAGTATCATTTTCATATAATTCAGTTATTTTGATTTCAGGCATACTACTCTGGAAACCTTGGTGATCAAAATGCTGTATATGTGAAATGCATAAATATATGTAAGGATAAGGCAGATCCATGGAGGATCAGTATATCAAAGCAACTAGATATGTCACCAAATGCTGGTACCAGCCAGTGGGAGCTAGTTTTAACTGATATCCAGCAGAGCTTCCCGAAATTATCCAAAAACTGGACAGGTTAACCTTTGCTCTAATCAGACAAGAAGCATTTTGTATTTTTTAAAAATAGTTTGTGGTTGTTAGTAACAGAACTTATATATATAAAATATATAAACCTGAGCAAATGAAAAATCAGATTTAAGGGTCTATCGCATATTTGTTCAGATTTTCCCGAACAACCTACAATATAAAGCTTCAGTGGTCAAGGGACTCAAGAATTCCTCACAAAAGAGATTCTAAAATTTTAGATATAAAATGAATTCATTTTTGAACTGCTTTCAGTGAATGGGTAGTCTCTGGTTCTGATGTCCTCAGTATTATACAATTGTTTAAAACCAATGAAGTCAGAAAGTACATCATAATAGTATATAGAAATAAACAGGAATGGATGAACACATTTTATTGAGATCTCTGTAATATAAACTTCAGTAATAAAGGGATTTTTCTATTCAATATTCAGTGTCTACTGTAGTGTGTTGCACTACTTGCCTGTATAGTACTGCTGGAAGGGTTGTAGTCTTCTGCGTTCCACCTTCTTTCTTACTTGGCTTTCTCTCCTTAGGTGCTCGCAAAATTGCTGGTATATTTAATTTCTATTGGATGTTAAGAAATATAGAAACACCGGTATATAATGGAACATTCCCCTTCATTTAACTCTCAGCAGTCATACAATTTGGCCATGCCCAATATGCTAAAAATTATGAGGGAAAACTGCTTAGTCAGGTCACAAAAATGACTATGCTATATATTCTGCCCTCAAGTGAGTTGCATAAGAAATGAAATTGCATTCCCATATTTTTCAGCGGAAAAAAAAATCAAAGACATTAAAACCCTGGCTTTTTAACTTTCTCCCCTTTAACGGAGAAAGCTTTAACAGAGACAGACAAGGACAATCTGGTTTAGAAGGTTAAAAGGAAAAAAGGAAAAGAAAAATCCACTACACTTCACAAAAGAATATTGAGGCAGTTTATTTTCCTCAGCATCCCTGCTACAGTGGTGCTCCATAGGTTAATTAGAAAAATTATCTTATTGGACCAAACTCTCCACAAAGCAGGAGAGATTCTCTTCGGGTTTCTACTAATCTGCAGTATGCTAGCTTCACAGACAGCAACCATCTATCAAAGTCATTTCTCAGTGGCCCTGTGGGCCTGCATCTGTTCAACCAACTGGAAAAAAGTGTCATGCAAGCTGTGCAAATGAAACTACTACTTTTTATTATTATTAAATGATGGCAACAGGAAATGCATTTGTAAATCTTCATGATTTTTTTTTCAAAAAGGAAAGAAGTTACTATTAACAAACCTATATTCATGAAGACAGATTCTGATATATTTGAAAGGCTCATACAGACCAGATCAGATTACATTCTCCAACCAGTTTAAAAGAACCTGTCAAGCATTTCAATATACACTGTTAATTCAATATTATGAAAATAAACCCAAGGATATATATAAGACGACTGTCAGCCTGTGGGCTAATTTTGTAAGAGATCATTTTTAATCTCAGAAAGCCAATTATGAATTGTTAAAAAAGAGAGAGCTAAAAGCTTATTTGTGTTGTGTTACTGCATTTTGTAAAAAGAGAACTATGTTCCTGAGAATCTGCTAACTACAGTGAATAAAGGTACCAGTTATAAGCCTTTTGTGAAGCCTAAACTGCAAAGCAGCCAGTGGCATTCATTAATGATTCAGACACAGTGAGTTACACAGGGCCACATAGTTGGAAGTGATGGGAGAAAAACGGAAAAACAGGCATTGAATAAGAAAAAAATGTTCCTGGATTTTTCTGATTTACAGCCAGAATATTCTATTTATACCTCTATGAAATTAATAGCTGGGAGGCTGCATCTTTTCACAACCAACAAATCAATCATTATTGCCATCAAAAAATAACCACTTGTGCAAGCCCTGGCCTCTTTTGTCTCCTAAAAAATTAATAATATGATGCCCTTATGCAAAATTAATTGAAGTAATATCTGTTTTATGTTACAATCCTATTCAGAAAAAGAGACTGTAGGCAAAAACATATTCAAGAAAACCTGTTGTTTGGTGCTACAATTGCTAAGGATGGAAAAGCGAGGAATGCAGTTGGATTAACTCATGCTTCAGGTTTAGTTTCATCACAAATGACAGGTCAATCAGTTACACCAAATGAAAGAATTTTGCAAACAAGATAGCTAATACAAAAACAAAATTAAGCTACGGGTTTCCAGCAGGTAGCATGCAGAGCCCCAGATAGATTTCAATCAGAAATCATTATCCCCAGGGAACGACCTGAAGTTTATTTTCAGCCACAAACATCAGCAGTAACAAACAAAAAGGCCTCCTCTTAGGAGTCATATGATGTATAAAACATAACAAAAATGAGGGGAAAAAAACAAAAACAAATAACCCCTCCCCTGAAAAAGAATTGGGGAAAAAATCACAAACCTGCCCAACGATTCTCCCCAGCACTGCCCAAATTCCTTGCCCTTCATTACGTAGTTTGGCATTTATATTCTGAAGTTCTTCTAAGGATTCACACAACTGAAAAAGAGAACCGTAAAAACTACTGTGAGAGTTACTTAGCGCCTCTTATCCAGGAGGAGGCATTCTTCACTTACAATACCTGTTCTATGAGAGGTAATTAAATAATAAAATTGTTCAGTCATGTCAATGCAACTGAAATCAGGAAAGTTAATCAGCCATTGAATAACACCAGAAAGAAAACATGGGCATCCATCTGCTTAGTCAGAGAGAACTTAAAGCAATTTTGTCTGACAATAAGGCTATAATGGCAGTCAAGAAACATCACAACAGTTCCACTCTGTTATTTCCATCTGCATAGATGTGCCAAGTATTTCTGCACAGGGAAGCAAGATTTCCATGCTACACATCTGCATACTAGAAAATATACGTTATTTTATGCATTTATTTGGAAAAGCTACTATCTCTTCTGACTACTCCCTATTTTTGGACAATTCTAACACTATCATGGTGTGTACTTCTGTATGCCCTTTTAAAATAAAGCTGAGGACAACAGTATTCTAATTTTCACAATGCGGTCTTCCAGACATACAATTCCATTCTGTTAATATTGAAAAAGTATTATTTACCTTGTTATATTCCACATGAAGTTTTTCCTGTTCATTCTCCAGTTTATCCTTAATTTTCTTCTGTTCTGCCATATTTTCTTGGATCTGGATCATGCGCATGTTTCTCTCTTAAAATAAAAGCCAGTAGATTTTGTGTTGACGTTTTTGAGTGTGTGAAGCAACACACCAAATTCAATCAGGATAACAATATAACATAGGGCATTTTTGTATATTTAGTTACACAGACATTGAAGGCTTCAGCTGCCAGTAAAATGAAGAAGAGATATAGTATTTCTAAAATACTAAGCCAGAAATGCTAAGATCAAAACCATACATACAAAGAACGGTAGTAAATAGTTCCATTCCCACAGAGTAGAAAACAAAAAAAATGGCAATGGAGAGCACCTGGTCACACGATTAGAGAATGTTGAAGTGCTATTTTGACCCTTAGAAACAAGACTGTTTTTTTTTGGGGGGGGTAGTAATATTAGGAGGAAAGTAAGATGCAATAAAATTCTCGGAACTAATTCTTATAAACTTTTTAGCATCAAGTGAAAATCTGCCTTGAGTCCCCTTCAGGATTGAGAATGTCAGGATATAAACACAGAAAATAAATAGATAAATAAAATCTATTTACTCACCAACGATTTAGATTAGATTTAACTGTGTATGGATTTTCATTTATTTTTATACTTTGTATTAATACTGCATATTACACTTATGGCTACATATTACTGCATTATCAGCACGTTTACTATGTGTACTTTGTTTACTTGTGTTTGACATTTTTATAATAAAATTGAACAAAACATTTTATAAGTAAAATGAAAATATTCGTACTGGAATATGTTATATTTAGAGTCCCAATCAATCCAAAATTGCTCAATATCAGTGGCTGCTTCATTTCTGTCAATATAAAATTAATGTTTATACTAGCCATATCAGAGAACATCATGAGTGGTGTTATCAGCTTTATAACCTGGCTCTTTCTCATAGATTCAGGAGTCAAGGCTACTTACAAATTAATACAAATGCATTACAGCTACAAACACAGAAAGGGTTGACATTAAAATGTAACTAAGACGTCAATAAAATTAAGAACAATTTAATACCTAGCATTAAATAATAAAAAGCAGTTTTAAAACAATACATCAAATGGAGCTCAGCACTTTGTTAAAAGCTCTTTCCTTAAAAACATCTACAAAAGTTTCTTGGAATAAAACAGTCTCCAATTTCCCAGAGAAGGACAGAAACTCTACTCTTTTATTTATAGACCACAAAACAATTATTTTCAAGCTTAAATGAAAATCTATTAGGTCAAGTCTAGGCAACACAGTAGCTCCAGGGTATATCCATCCCATTTTCCTCAACCCTTACAGACCTGCCTCTGGAAGTCACACCTGACTGTTTTTAAAATCTGGAAGTGACTGGAAGGTTACTTCCAGTTTTTAAGAATGCTATTTCTGGACTTTAAGGAATAATGGGGTAGTGTTTAAATGGAACATCACACACCCAAGAGGCCCCTGGAGAAATAATTCTCAATTGTTTTTTTCCCAAAAAATGATTTAAGATCAGATGGAGGCCAAGAGGACAGTATAGATCCCACAAACTGCATAATCCCCAGTCCTGCATTATATGATTGCTGAAAACATTTAAAATAATATACCAGTGACACATTAAAATTTTACAATTACAGCATTGGTAGTAGCATGTGTATTTTCATCTTTTTTATTACTGTAAACACAAGTAGCATAATACAAATCTCGACCTGGTGCTGAAGATGGAAGGCCGACTGGACTCTGTACCCGATTGTTTCCATCAGTGCCTCGAGGCCATTACTGGATGGTTGTGTGCCAGCAGGTTGAGGGTGAATCCAGCAAAGACAGAGATCCTATGGCTGGGTCGACCGGGCAGTGGGGACATCCAGCTGCCTACCCTGGATGGCGAGGCACTACGCCCGTCATCACTGGTAAAGAGTCTGGGAGTCCTTTTGGACCCTCTGCTGACGATGGAGGCATAGGTCTCCGCTGTTAGCAGAACTGCCTTCTTTCATCTGCGGCAGGCTAGACAGCTGGCCCCCTACCTGTCCAGGAATGACCTAGCTACGGTGATCCAGGCCATGGTCATCTCAAGACTGGACTATTGTAATGGCCTCTACATTGGCCTTCCTCTGTCGGTGATCCGAAAGCTCAAGTTGGTACAAAATGCAGCTGCTCGGCTTCTTGCGGGAATTCCGATGAGATGCCACATAACACCAATCTTACTACAGCTACATTGGTTACCAATTGAGCACCGGATCACTTTCAAAGTGATGGTACTCACCTTTAAGGCCTTGCATGGTCTGGGGCCGATGTATCTGAGGGACCGCCTCACCCCCTACCAACCCCAGAGATCCCTCCGTTCTGAGGACCAAGATCTATTAGAAGTCCCCAGTGTCAAGACCTTGCGTCTAACAGCAACCAGACGCAGAGCCTTCACAGCAGTGGCACCATCACTCTGGAATACTCTGCCACCTGAAGTCCGTGCCTTGCGGGACTTACCAGCTTTCCGCAGGGCATGTAAGACATACCTGTTTCGACAGGCTTTTAATGTTTGATAGTGTTGTTTTTAAATTGTTTTAAATTGCTTTTAAATTTTGTTAGATTTTAGCTATTCTTGTAAGCCGCTCCGAGCCCCAGGGGAGTGGCGGCATATAAGTTTAAATAATAAATAAATAATGAAATTCTGCTTACATTTTCACTCAATATAATGTGTCTCATTTTCTTAACATTATCAATCCCAATTCCACACTTATCAACCACTTGTGTGTCCCCCTATCCTCCCTCCCCCTTTGCGTGTATTTTCATCCTTACCAAGGTAATAATTCACAAAATCAGCAGTCAGAGCTGGCTGTTTGTGTTTTCGTCTTCCATCAACACTGGAACTGGTATCTGAAGTATCCACTGGAAAGATGTCTGTACTAATTCCCATTAATTCTGCTTTGCGCATCAGTTTACGTATTGCTGAAGCACTGCTAGTAAGTGGCCGTGGCAGTTTCTCCCTTGGTACCCAAGCCTGAGGTCTGGTGGTTCGTGCAATTTCTGACTTAGCACGATATTGCTGTAGTCTGGCATTAATTCGAGCCTAAAATTGTTTAACAGCACATAAACATCAAATTAAGTACATATGAATATTCTTTGCTCTACACAAATATTTAGTGAGAAGAAATAAATTTAATGTTGCAAAGTCCTAGAAATACTTCTCTACTGTGAATCATAATGTTCTATGACTACAAAATTTAAGGTTTAAAACAGGTATTAAACACAATCAATACATGGCAGTTGTTTCTTTTGGTTTTCCACAATAGCAACTTCCCTACTGGATTAGACAAAGGCGTATTTCTTTCAGCATTTTTCTTCCACAGTAGTCAACATCATGTTCATGTAGGACATGAGCATTTTCCCACTCAGGTTTCCCAGCAACGGATATTTAGAGAAACACTCTTGTAATAAAGCATAATATATACACTCATTATGACTAGCTGCCACAGACAGGCTATTGCTTTTTAAGTTGGCAAATATCATTAGATCCTATAGAAGCAAATTCCAGATAGTGTAAACAGTGGTGTATGACTTGAGTCTTCCACCACTTGGGCCCCATTTACATTACCATTATAAAGCAGATTGAACTGGATTATATGGCACTTTAGACTGATAAAATCAAGTTCAATGCAGTTCAATCTTCATTATATGAGTCTACAATGCAGTTCAAATTGCATTATATGGAAGTGTAAATGGGGCCCCAGCTTCACTAGATGATCCCAGATTACAGCATTGCAAAAGAGGGAGACAAGCTTTTACCCTTCAACAACTTAATCATTTTCCCTTTAACTGATTTTGTTCTAAACTGTAAAGGCCCAAATATAATATTTTTTCAATGAGAAAGATGCTCTAGCCTAGGCATGGGCACACACACTTCAGCCCCCCAGGAGTTAGGAATTGTGGGAGCTGAAGACCAAAACACCTGGAGGGCTGAAGTTTGCCCATCCCTGTTCTAATTTCTTGATTATCTTGATCCCAGTAAAGATCTGTATGAGAGCACATTGTATACCTCCTTCAACTGTGAAAAATTATTGCATTATCTTGGTATTTGCTTTCTAACTAGTAATAGATCCATAAAAGGACTTGTTCTTTCAGTCTAAAGCATTCTTAGAAGCTTTTGGGAGATGGTTTGACAAAAAAAATCTTTGAAAGCCCAATTAAACAAGAATTGATCAAGTATTCCTGGGAAACAGATAATCTGTAAAATTCTCCTTAAGTAGGCAGCCTTTCACAATTCCTTGCCTAACACTGGTTAAAAGTAATGCTAACAATAATAACAGAACACAGCAAGACAATTTTTGATAGCCTAAGTTTTGTGACAGTAGTGTTTTCTCAGGTTAGGCATTAGCCAGGACTGAAGAAGATAAAACAGGCTTAGATACTGGATTTATTGATATGGAACAGAGTCAGAGGAAAATCACAATGCTGAAAGCAGGTGGATCTGCTTCCATGACACTCTGGCTTGAAGATATATATTAGATTGCTTGCAAACCATTGAGGATGATTGTTGAAAGTTGTGATGGCTGCAAGTCCAGCATTCCTTGGCTCCATTCATCCCTTATTCAGTAATGAATAGAAATGTAACTTTGGTATGAGTACACTACCTGAGCCTCTGGTGAGAGCTGCTTCTCTCGCTCCTGCAAAGACATTTTACAGTAAGACTGTAAAGCCAAATAGTTCTTGCGTTTCCATTTTCTATCCATCCTATCTGCATGTTGCTTACAGTAAGCAAAAAAAGGATCTGCAATATCCTGTTAAAATTAAGAATGTAAAGGATTATAGAAGAGAAGTAAGACAAAGAAAATCGTTCACAGGATGATATTTTAAAATATATTCAATACATTCATATTGATGGAGTTTTAAGGAGAGTAATAATGAAGATATTTAACTTAATTTAACTATAAATGGGTTTTATCCCTAGAAAATCACTACTGATGAATATGAAACTATTTGTTTTGATCTAGTTTTTAAATTCTGTACGAAATTGACAAACATTTTATCATACACTTCAGACAACAAAGATTAAGTTAGATCCAGGCTTAGTCATAGTTAGTGCTATTGACTTCATCAGGTCTACTTTGAATATAACTAAATATAGCTAAGGCTGATTTAATTGAAATTGTTTGGCTTATCAGACAGCTCACTGTTAGCACTATCTGTATTAACATTACAAGATTAATCTTATCCAGTTTATCCATGTGTTTGGATTGGTTTTGGGCTAAATTTCTAGACTTATATGTGAGTATATAGAATAGTTAATTCTGTGCCAATTTCCAATACATAACTGCAGAAAGTACAAAATTTCATATATGAATATAGTATAGTTGAGATGCATATATCACCCAGCAAATTGTATCTCTGTCAGATACAGCAGAATCAAATATGCTTTGTAATGCTATACAATTTGTTTTGTTTCCAAATATTACATTATGATAAACAGAAATTGTATAGCAGCAAACTTTTAACAAGCAATTCCCGAAAAGATGGTCATACAAAAATAAACGAAAGATTGCTAGAGGATCTGAACAAGTTATTTCTTGGTGGAATAATTAGCCTAAAGGGAAGTGAAGCACTCTTATCAGACATATATTTCTAGCACAGAGTGAGTGTCAAAGGTGTGCTTCTTTGATGCCTACATTCAAGGAAAACCAAAATGGAGAGAAAGCTATAAAATGTTCTCCATATTCTGACACTGCAAGGCTCAGCCAATTAATACATTTTTTAAAGCATTCAGGAAGTTGTGTGGTGTAGTGATGCGAACTACGACTCTGGAGCCCAAGATATGAATCACTGCTCAGCCATGGAAGCACACTGGGTGACCTTGAACAAATTACATTCTCTCAGCCTCTGAGGAAGGCAAAAATCAAATCCCTTTCAAATAATTTTTGCCAAGACCCCGCCCCTTCCCCCGATGATAGATTTGCTTTAAGGTCACCATAACAACTTGAAGGCACATGATAACAATGTATTTGATTGGATCCCAAATCCAAAATAAAACTTCACCCAAACCCCTCCCTCTTCTGTTCTGCAGCCAGATCAAAGGAAGTGTACATGAAAACAAAAACGTAAATTTAAGAAATTCAACACAAACTTAAATAAGTTACTCTGCGAAGAATGTTGCAAAAATTTCTGTAGTATTTTATCATGCCAGGTTGAGAACTTGGCAGTTAGCATATTACACTGGAGAATATTTTCGCCACATTAAAACAGTTGTTTATTTACCTCCTCTGCTGCAGCTTCTGACAACAGACCTTCCTTCTGAGCACAGGTCACATGGAAATAAGCTCTACACATTCCGGCATCACAACTAATGCAAACGCCAGTTCTGGCAAAACGGGCATCTTCACAGAAACTGCATTCCTGAAGTAGATGAATGAGGGTTGCGTAAGCATTAAAAATGTATGCAAGTTTTGCCTTTATAAAGTTCTTTAAAATCTCATATACACTTTTTTTAACTATCCAAAAGAGAAAACAGAAGGACAAAGAAGAAATTAGACTATAACTGGAAAAAGAAAATGCATTACAAAATCTGATTAGAACTGGTTGTTTTACGGTTATTTATAAATGGTATTTCCATCTAATCAAAATTTTAGGGAAAATTAAAGTAATGATTGATATTTAAAAGCCAAGGGAGCTACATAAAAGGCCACACACAGTGAAAACTACTAGGGCTGGGCGGTTTCGTTTCGTTAATTCGTAATTCGTTAATAATTCGTTATTTTTTTCAATCACAAAACGATAACGAACCATTCTGGAGCAATTATAAAAAAACGAATTTTCAAAAACGTTTTGTAAATGCTTCGTATTTCGACATTGTATTCGTTTCGTTATTGTTTTGAGGTCGTTTCGTTATTATTTCCGCATGTCTGGGCCAGTTTTATGGTTTAATTAGTGAAACAAAATTATAATATCACACCAACAGTCAACAACAGAGGGAGAGGGAAGCTTCAGAAGGTTTTGGAGGTTTTTTAGCGTATTTCGCGGTCGCGTCCGCCATTAACGAATCGATTCGTTATTGTTTCGGAAATCGATTCGTTAATTTTTTTACCATTTACGAAATTTCGTAAATATCGAACTTTTTAAAAGGAAAATTTTGTAATTATTTTAAATATCGAAACAAAAAAAACCCCCCAAATACAAATCGATTTTAGAAACAAATTTTTCCGTTGTTACCCAGGCCTAAAAACTACATATTCAAATTGGTAAGTCACAAGTTCCCTTCACAACACTTAAAGGTAAAGGTTTTCCCTTGTCATTAAGTCTAGTCATTTCCGACTCTGGGGGGTGATGCTCATCTCAGTTTCTAAGCCAAAGAGCCGCCGTTGTTCATAGACGCCTCCAAGGTCATGTGGCTGGCATGACTGCCAGAGCAGTGCCTACAGATCTACTCACATTTGAATGTTTTTGAACTGCTAGATTGGCAGAAGCTGGGCCTTACAGGGGGAGCTCACCTTGCTCCCCGGATTGAAACTGCCGACCTTACAGTCAGCAAGTTCAGCAGCTCAATGGTTTAACCCGCTGCGCCACCGGGGGCTCTCACCACGCTCACTATACAGTTTAATTCTGGAATCAACATGGACACAAACCATAATAGCAGAACTTTTCTTTTTATGGATACCTAGAAAGTTCTGTATGCACCATGATCTTGAGACTATACCTTTGAGACTGAGAGAAAGAAGTTGGTAGCATAAACTTTCAAAGGTTAAGACAACAAGCAATCTCCACATGACAAACATTTGATTTACAAAACTCTCCTAGATGAGACAACAGGAAGTGAGAGGAAATATACCAGAAGGAAGGGAAATTCACTCCTGTTACAGTTATAATAGGAAAAGGTGTCTCCACTGAAGCTTTATCACCAACTCTTGTTTCCACTGCAACCCAAAATATTCAAAATCCAATTATCACAAGACAGAAAGTGAGGTGACATTTTTGAACAGGGGCAGAGACAGCAAAACAAACATGTTAACCCTTCCCTATGCTATCCAAAACTAAAACTAAAAGAAAAAAGTTGGAGTTGCACTTACAAAATCTAGCTGTTCCCATTTACATACAAATTCAACTTTAAAACATACCTACAGAGCGTATCTTGTTCATAACTGGAGGCCTGCTTGTACTTCATCAGATGCACTGTTTATGCTACCAATTTCTTTCTCTCAGGCCCTTTCTACATTGTCATATAATGCAGATTATCAAAGAATATTATCTGTTTTGTACTGGATTATATGACTCTACGCTGCCATATAATCCAGTTCAAATTAGATAATCTGGATTTCATATGGCAATGTATAAAGGATTCCAGCTTTTCTGAAGATGCCTCAAGATCAATTTGCATACTAAAACTGTGATGTCTGAATTCCAGAAAACTCTGGTTTAGATATTCTCAAATCAACACATTTCTTTTGTTTGATAGCCACATATTTCATTGTGGAAGATTTATTTGATATGATAGAAACTAAATCCCAGTATAGAAAAAGATAATCAAATATGTGTAGGTAAGGGTAACGAGTGGTACAGTTGCACAATCTCGTCAAATTGGGATTCTTAAAGGGGGGTTGTCTATATAAGGGGTGGAAAATAAGGGGCTTTTTAGAAATTGTTGAGTTGCACTCTCCAGCTTTCTTCACTACTGGCTTAATTACCTAGGGCTGAAGGGATCCATGGATTCCTATTCATGACCTATATTGACCACCACCACTGCAAGTTTGTTGCAATTAATTGCAAAAACAAGAAACAAAACACATCACACAAGCTCTTGTTTTCATGTTACCTTAGCACCATATTTGGAATAGTTCATTTCTGTAAGCGTTACTGGTCGCAGTTTGTCAATATCTCCAAACGCTACTCCTGGAACATACAGCGCACAAACAATGTGGACCCATCTGTAACAGAAAAGGGAAAGCTATTCATGGAATTTAGGGAAAGAACATAGCAGACAGTCTATATATGAATCCAAAAAGAATTACCAAGAAGTAAGGAACACTGAGAGCTGATGGAATATAGTGGTTTCAGAATTGGGCTATGTGATCCAACCATATATGACACTTTCTTCAAAAACACTGGGTCCTTTATATCTGCAGGAGCATGGTTTCAGGATGCCTGTGGACATCCAAATCCATGGGGTTCAAGTCTGATTATTTACAATACTGTAGTAAAATGGTGTCCGTTATATATAATGGAAAATCAAGATTGGTTTTCTTAATTTAAAAAAAAATTAAGCCATGGATGATTGAATCAATGAATGCAGATTCCATTCATATGGAGGTCCAACTGTAATATGAATATTAAGACAATACAATTTTGCACCAATTACATCAGTGCTTCCCAAACTATTGTCCTTCAGGTGTTTTGGATTTCAGTTCCCAGAATCCCTTATCATTTGCTAAGGCAGCTGAGGCTTCTGGTTGAAGTCCACCTAGAAGACTAGTTTGTGAATCACTTAACTAAATGGTAGAACAAGAAGGAAAAAATAATGTCTGAAGTAGAAATAACTGTAAAACTCAATAATATTTTGTATATCCCCTTGAAGAAAAGGAAAATTCCCCTTTTAAGCCAATGTAGCATCATGTTACAATTTGTTATTAAGCAGCATGAAATATAATTTGGGCCAATTATGCCCTTCCTGTGATTCAACCTCTTTTTCCTATATAAACATCTACACCCATCCTATCCATCTCAAGCTCTTCAGCTGTACTGGACTACAATTCAGTCATTCCCAGGTAACATGGCTAAAGAAGGTTGGGGGGCATCTTTTTCATATGAAGTTACTTCAGTGCTATATTTGTATAATATTGATTTTTTTCCATTTTAGACAATAATCTGTAATAAAATATCCAATAATTCACCCAAATAAATAGACATCTAAAGCAATATATGTTTCTTGTGGTTTTAAATACTGAGAGAGCTTCCCTTTTTCTACAATACTACTAATGTATCACACTGGGAACAATTTTAAGAGAGAAATTGAAGGAAATGGTTGCCCATCTCTGCATTATCTTCTACATTTTCTTTTTAAAAGCCAAGGGTTTGGCTGGAGATTTTGATAGTAAGTTTTAACACATTCTCCCTTTTGCACCCTGTAGAGTTCAATATAAAGATACACATCTTCAACAAGCAGCTGCTTCTCAATTTAATTTGCACAGTTTTTTCATGCTCCACTGGTGTATTAAATGCTGCTGCACTCCGTAGGAGTTTATCTATGATAAACCCAACAGCTGGCTGCTTGCTTCATACTGACCTTCTCAAAATGTTTTAGTACATGTCACACAAGTACTGTAGTATTACAGATTTGAACTGCCATTTCAGTATGATTGGCACACAAGTGTCTCATTTCCTTAACCACCTATGTGTGAACTCCATCCTGAATCTTTATTAAAATACACAGAAGTCAGTCAAGTTCACAGCTGAGGCAGCTTCAGCTGCTTTTAATACCAGTGCCTAAATGTTTTCCTGCTCATTTATTTAGCTGCACATGTTTGAGAACCTTGTAATTAAGACAAATTGGGTAATCAAAGAAGAATAATCTTTCATGTTACTTCCCCATCCATTTTGCTCTGAGCAATGATGACAGATGTTGGTGATGGAGAAGAGGAAAAACTGAACTGAAACAAAGGCAATAGTCTTATTCTGGTTAGGAACATAGCATCCAGGAAAGCAGGAGATTTCATTATCGTCATACTGGTGTTCATGAAACTAAGTAGTATATGGAAAAAGTAAATGTGTTTCAAATTATCCATCTCATTACGTATTCAATCTCTCAGAAGAAAAGATCACAAGAAATCATCCCTCATTACAGAAAGAAATTTAACAGATTTAGTTTAACATTCTGAGAATTTTAAGCAGAAAGGAAAGCTATAAAATTTTATTTGCAGTATAGGGATGTTCACAGCATAAGGATATTGTAATCAGGTCTTACAGTTGGTCTGACAACAGTATTGTGTTGGGACATACAAGCAAAAGTAGTGACCCCTACACAAATATAGCAGTCAGACTAACAAGAATGGCTCATGAATCCAGAAAGCATGGAAAATGACTTCTGTGTAGGCAGTGTGCCAAAATAAAGATGAAAAGAGCATGTTGGGCATTCTGTAGGATAGCATTAATCTCAATTAATTAATTAATTAATTAAACAATCAACCTGAGAAGTAGTAGTGAGGTATTCAATTACTGTTAATTTGATTTAAAACATATTTACAATGAAATATAATTTTACAAATTACTCCCTAACAAACCAAATGAATGAACTTAATAATGATTTAAAAACAAGCATAATAATAATAATAATAATAATAATAATAATAATAATATAAAATAACAATAATAAAAGGCCACCTCACTTGGATCTGAGCGCATCATTCGAAAATACATCACACAGTCCTAGATGCTTGGGAAGTGTTTGACTTGTGATTTTGTGATACAAAATCTATCATATATATCTCACTTGCTGTGACATACTGTGTTTTTGTGTCAGTAAAATAATAATAACAACTATATTCTTATATCCCACCATCATCTCCCTGAGGGGACTCGGGGGGGGGGGGGGGCTCACATGGGGACCAAACCCAGCACGAAACAGAAGTAAGATATAACACAATTAAAATACACTGCCTTTCAATAATTAAAATAAAACCAGACATAATAAAAAATAAGAACATCAATAAGCATCACCCAGTAGCCAAACTTAGTGGGTATGTACAGATCTAGGAGGGTGGGGCAAAAGCTAGTGCAATACAGCTGTAAGGGCGGAGCTGGTAATAAAGTGCTACACTTGGCCAACCTGATATGTGGCTATTAGCCCAGTTGCAGCCCCCTGGAGCCATGTTCATGTATTTGATTTTCATTTATAAATTATTTACTTCTGAATTCTAGGGAAGGCCTTAAATGTGTAAAAAAAATGTTACCTCATATAGTCTTGCATGGCTTTCAATTTGATAGATATGGACCTATTCGGGTTCAGTATTAGAAGAAAGAAGCAGGAACAAAAATGTACTGATTCCTCCCTCCCAAGCACATGGCTTCTGTTTGACATTCCAATCAACAGGACTTTCCAAGGCCCTTGTTCTTTATCCCCCATAAGAGGGACTCAGGGTGGATCTACACTGATCCACTGCCCCAGGATCGATCTGGCATGACATATACCAGATCGAGCCTGGGATGTTTAACAAAGCCATCCCCCACTTCTCCCAGCAACTGCAAAGGCAGGAAGGAGTCATCAGCATAGAGCAGCAATCCAGTTCATCACTGCCAGACAGTCGCCCTTACCATTCCCTCCCATTCCCTTTGGCGCAAAAGTCTCTGGGTGAAACATGAGCCCCATGTTTCTTTCTATATCTGCAGTGATGTCAGCTAGAGAACCAAACCTTGTTACATCCCGAATAGATTACTGCAACGCACTCTACGTGGGGTTGCCTTTGAAGACTGTTTGGAAACTTCAACTAGTCCAACGGGCGGCAGCTAGATTACTCACCGGAACATCATACAGAGAGCATACCACCCCTCTGTTATGTCAGCTCCACTGGCTGCCGATCCAATTCCGAGCACAATTCAAAGTGCTGGTTTTGACCTACAAAACCCTATACGGTTCTGGCCCAGCGTATCTGTCTGAACGCATCTCCTTCTACGTCCCGCCTCAGAGTCTAAGATCTTCTGGGGAGGCACTGCTCTCGGCCCCACCTTTATCACAAGTGAGATTGGTGGGGACGAGGAGCAGGGCCTTCTCAGTGGTGGCCCCTCACCTGTGGAACTCACTCCCTGGGGAAATTAGATCATCAACATCCCTCCTTTCCTTTAGAAGGAAATTAAAAACATGGATTTGGGACCAGGCCTTTGGGTAATCTGGCGGATAGATAAGGCACAAGTGAAGACTAGAATTGTTGGATTGGACAATGTGGATTTTGAATTTACGGACTCTGAGCTGATAAACGTTGAGCACTAGATTGCTTTTAGGGACTGTGATATATAATGGACTGTTTAATTGTTTTAATTGGTTAATTACTGTTTATATGTTGAATTTGTTTTACCTTGTTGTTGTGCCGGCATCGAATTGTGCCTTTTTGTAAACCGCCCTGAGTCCCCCCTCGGGGGTTGAGAAGGGCGGGGTAGAAGTGCGAGAAATAAATAAATAAATAAACCAATGGGGGAGGAATCACTTCCCCCTCTTCCCCCATCCCTTCACCCATCAACCTGTCCAAAATCACTGCAGTCAATACCAGACCGGTAGGACCCATCTCGAGGCCAGATGGCATTATGACAAGGAGAATAGTATGGGATGTTGGTAGCAAAACACCTAGTTTTGAGAACTGGGTGTCTAAAAAAGCACTGCTATATTAAAAATGTACCAGCCTGATGTATTGGTTTGAGAATTGGACTACAACTCTGAGACAAGAATTCAAATACCCATTTGGTGAGGAAACTCACTGAATGACCTTGGACAAGTCATACTCTTATCTATTTCAGAAGAAGTCAATGATAGGGTCACATTAGGTCGGAAAAGACTGGAAATAACACAACAACAGCAGCAGCAGCCACCACCACCACCATCACCACAATACCCTGGACAGAAACAGTGAATTGAAGCCATGATCAAATTGGCAATGGGACATGAACTTCATATGGAAACATTTTCAACTAAACTTCCAGGCAAAGATTCATCAGAGGATAATATAACGCAGTAATCTGAACATTTTAATGTTCAGGGAACAATATAGTATACGTCTGCTTAATCCTTCCACTGAGCAGTTCATGGGCCCATATGGTTCCAAAAAAACAACTGGTCTCTAATCTGGAGGTATGAGATTTTTGATGTTCCTCCTGTTTTCTAAGTAGCTGCTCAAAAACACAGAGAAAATATGTCTGATTCTTCACATTTCCTAAGGTAACTTACAGAGACATACTGACAACAGCTCTCTTAACCAACCTGCCAGCATCTGTCTCTTTGAAGATTCCATCTTGGTTCGGACAAAGTTCACAGCTGGGGGCAACACCACATTTGCAAGCATCACAGAACCATGGTTCAGTGGAGTTTTCTGAAGCAGAGCTCATAATAGAATCACTTTCACCATCTACACCATAGCAACCTGGAAACAAACGAATTAAAAACCAATTCAACCAAATGGAAGGTTATATCAAGGAACACATTTAGAAATTAGAGAAGGAAAGGAAAGCAAAAGACCAGGAGGGATTCTCATGACTCCATTTCCTTTCTTCTTAAAAACTATCTGAGCCACATACTGAATAATGGGAAACTCTCAAAAATCTTCTATTTCATTTTTAGTAGAGCAGGCAAATTTCTAGGGAACTTGAACTGATATGAATGAGACTCACAGTATTACAATCCAAGGAAATTTTTAATACATAGTCTCAGATCCAAAACAGTTGGTTATTACCCCACCAGTTTCTAAGAATCTTGTCTATCATGATAGAGGCATTTATACAGATGGCTGCTGTATGTATGTATGTATGTATGTATGCATATTTAAATGTAGATTTATAAGCAGTTTTTCTGTAAACAAAACCAGGTTTTATGAAACAGGAATAGCAAGAAATATAAATAATATTTATATTTGCACATCAAATATTAACTTTAAAAAAAAAGATCTGAAGGCGGTACAAGGACAAATTACACACTTAGGAGGAACATTATGGGTTCTGGACAAACTGCTTTTCAAAATTTTGAAAGAAAATATATGTTCCTATAGCTTTGTTTATCATCAAAAAACTAACCTGAGTGAGTCTCTAGTCCAAGACTATTCAAAGCAAAATTCAGATTTGGAAACAGTAGCTGAAACCACTTATGGAGTTTTTTCCCCTGTGGCAAGACGGATGTTCCTACTTCAAATGACAGCTGCAGTTCTTTAAAGAACAAGTGCTACCAAAATACTGATTAACTTATATTTTACAGTTTTGTGTAATTGCAATGCTTCAGGAACATAGACCTTTTTACAGAAAATCTTAGTTTCTTGATCAGTATACTTGACTGTATTCTATTTAAGTTAGTGAATCTGAAGTACTGTTAATTTTCTTTGTTAAGCAAACAAAACCCTGAAGAATGGCCAAGAGACATTTTACAAAGAAGGGACCTAAAAGAGGATGCAGAAGAAGCTGTGGGAAATGGCGGCAAAGATGTTAATTTATGCAATGTCTACAAGCATAAATACTCCTGCTACACAATGCCAAAATTAAAGAACAGAATAAAATATATTTTAGAAAAATGGCACAATGTCTTTAATCCACAGCAATGATCCAAGGGCAATTTCCAACATAGAATTACCTACAACTATATTGCATTCTATGATATGTTCCAGACATTTTTCTTCAGGCACTATGCAATCAGTACATCAGGAGAAGTGACACCACAGTTGGGGGTGCTCTGCTATTACAAACCAGTTAGCAGAACTTGGTACAAAAGCAGTTACCCAGAGTGACAGGAGCAAGTGTAAGGACTTTTTCATTTATGTTTAAATTGGATTTATCTATAGAAGGCATGTTTTATCCATAAAGGAACACTTTAAAATTAATTATACTTTTTCAGATGCAATGAAAAATATCTTATCAAAACTTGCTATCTAAGTCTTAAGAGAAAGTGTGGAAGGTATAGACCCAGCAAAATTTATCCTGTGGAGGGGGACACCCACACTGAGATTAGCTAGTGTATAGGGATGTGTGTGCCCTATTAAAGTTTCACCTTTTTTCCACTATGAAAAAGGTTTTCTTCTATAGTTCCAAGGATTTTGTCTGTGTGTGTGTGTGCGTGCGTGCATCTAGGTCTGTCTGAAGGGTTGTTTAATGACCAATTGCATTTCCAGCAGATATTTTCAATGAATGGTGGAGTTCATTTGTACATTGACCCAATAAAATTATAGCTCTGAATCATTTTTTTAAAAAACATTTCATTGTCTGCACTGTTACGTGATTGTTCCTGAATTTTAAGAAAGTAGCTTCAAATATATTCATGATAAAATGCAAATACTAGTAGAAAATACAAGATGAACGGTTTTATTCAACATACATGAACATTCCCTACACAAGGAGGCATATTTATTTATTTATTTATTTGCCCTATTTATATCCCATCTTTCTCTACCCCAAAGGAGACTCAAGGCGGCTTTACACATAGGCAACTATTCAATGTCTCTGGACAATATACAGTTATAATCCATATTAAAATTTAAAATTAATGCATATTAAAACATATAAAAATATTGCATTCACTATTAAAATCACATCCACAATCATAATCCAGGGCCATTCCAACAATTATTGCACATATTCTGTAGCTGTTATTGCATATAGTTATCCAAAGGCTTGATCCCAAAGCCATATGCACATAAGCATAACTCTTGACAATTACTATTTTGTCATAAAAGTCAGAATGTCTAATGGCCATCCAGACCATGCTGGTTGATAAGATTATGGGAGCTCTGCAGCAAAAGAATGACCTTTTCAATGTCTGCACTTAAGCTTTTGTTGTATAATATTGGCTCACAAATACAATGCGCATCTATTGGAACTAGGCACAACTTAACTTTACTAAGAGAAAAATAAGACTCTATTGTTTTATTCTAAAGAATTACCTTCGTGCACTGTTATCCCACAATTATCACACTGGATTATTTCATCAGCATCTTCACTGTTATCTCCAAGACAAACACAGCAAATCATAATATGGTCCATTTTCTGAGCACTCCAGGTATGAGATTTTTCAAGAATCAGAGAGTCCTACAATGGAAAAAGAAAGAAACAAAGAAAGAAACAAAGAAAAGGTACTAGTTATACTGGAAAAAATGTTATAATGATTGTTCCCCAGTCCTTTTGCTTTTGTATTCCTATTCTCATAATATCTGAACAGAGTACATAGACAAAAGTTAGACTTATTTTATCTACTTGGAAAACATTCTTCAGCCTTGGTGCCTCTTCTCACACCTTCTCTATGTACCAATACTTTCTCTCGTTTTTAATTTAGGGTGAAGAATGTATAATCAGTCAGATACTTTGCACTATCACTACTGAACTCATTTCTTGGATATGAAGTCTAAAACATCTAGAAGGCTAAAAGTACTCCAACAATTTTAATGGCTATATGCCCTGTAGGCAATATACCTTATTCAGGATCTCAATTATGATGTAAAACAAGTAACCCTAATGCCATTAAACATTCTTCTGAAGTAGATATAAATGTATAACATTTGCATTCATTACGTATTTCTCTATTTCTTTGCCACCATTCAAGACTCATATAGCTCACTGGCTAATTCTAGGTGTCCCTAGATCTTAACCCAAATTACTTTAGTGATTTTATCATACCATTTATTTTCTAAGAAACAAGGCACAGTAAAATGTAATTAACATTCATTTTATCATACTTCTTACAAAGAATAAATATAATTAACGCATATCTTGATGAAAGTTGTATTTTCAAAAGACATGCGTATTTGCTATAGCAGAAAACAGAATTTCAAATACTATTCTTTTAAATGCTGTATGTTATTGTTATTGCTTATTGTGTATTTCTGTTTTTGAGTTTTATTTTAACTGTTTTGTATTGATTATTTGTTATCGCTTTTGTTTATTGATGTGTTGTGGGCTTGGCCTTATGTAAGCCGCACCAAGTCCCTTGGGGAGATGGTAGTGGGGTACAAATAAAGTATTATTATTATTATTATTATTATTATTATTATTATTATTATACCTTGTATCCCAATGCCACAACAGTAGTGAAAGGACCAGACTTATTTTATTTTATCATATGGTAATGTACTTTTAAAGATGAATAAAATTTTAAATCCAATCTGCGATACTACATGAGCGCTAGGTGTTTCAACACAAAAAGTAATAAATGCTACTCAAGAGTGAAGATTCTGTCTATCTCTAAGCTAGTTGACTGTAGTCTATGGGATGTACCTAGACTTCTATTTACTGAAATCAACTGTGATTGAATTAATCCACTGATTTTGCTAGTCTACGTTAAGAATGAGTCAGGAGATCCAACCTTATATAGAATTCAGTTTTATAACAAAATTCATCCAGGGACTTCTGATTTAAGGTGATTTACCCTCCAACACTTCCACAGGTTTGGTCTCCAAACTAATATCATTCAAATAAATCAACTTTCCTAGATTTTCGCCACCGCACCATTTTTTCTACTAACACCATTACCTGATGTTTAGCAATCGTTCCCTAGAGATTTTCCTCCTAGCCTATATGCATGACCAAAATGTCATTGTCACCATAAAGTGAAAACAGTTTAGAAATTGTCAAAGCTTTGAAAAATTGTGTGATTCTCCCAGTTGCAAAAACATGAAGTAATAACAGTGCTAGGATTACATAATTGATAATTCCAAGTACATGTCAGTGGTAGTAATTATCAGGTAAGTGGTTACAGTATTGCAGACTTAGTCAACCTCTCACTGCATGCTACAATGTTGCCCCATCAGAAAACCACAAGACAGACAAGGAACATTGTATACCAGGAACATTATATACATTTGGTACAGTGTGTGTGTGTGTGTGTGTGTGTGTGTGTGTGTGTGTGTGTATGCGCACACACACACACACTCAGTACCAAAGTTAGAAATACATGGGAAGACTAAAGATAGGATAACCAGCCTCCACTTTTCTTATGATATACATTTTAATGGCCAAAGTAAGCCTGCCCGGCATGAGGCAGGCTTACTTTTATACCATTGTCTTCCTGTTCATGGATGTTCAGTTAGGGATTCTGACACAGCAGTGGCTTTTTACTTTTTCTGCTGTAAGCAGGCACACATAATTGCCAAATGAAATCCTAGGGCAGAGTCCCATTCTTTCCTAGATCAACCTTTATTATTCTATTTATCAGAGACATTTATTTCAAGTGATATATTCTACATAGCACAAAATTGGGCTACACTCCTATTTATGGAGAGGTGAGAAATATGTATCTGCAACATCGTCAGTAGTGAGGAATATTAGGAAATGGAATCTCACCACATCTGGAGGGACAACAATTTCCACCTAGGTATATACAGTTAACATGGGAGTGGTCTTCATTTTAACCCAAATTTATTCCTGGACTGAAACGTACAGGTTAATGTCACAAATCAATAAACGTTCTTAAGAAATTGTGACTAAGACCTATTTAACTGTGCGACAACAATGATTTATAACTACATCTAACTATTTCTAGCTTATCATACAAACACAAATACAGTAGATTCTCAGCTAACCAGCGAACAAGCAACCAATGTTCTCGAGGAACTGTACAACTGTATTACATTAAATTGGGGGGGGGGGGGGGGGTTGGCTTAATTTACTTTTAATATTAACACCAAGCTTATGGTATGGTATGGTATAGTATGGATTATGGTAAGGCATATTTTTACTAGGAACTTTCAAGTAACCAGGAACATGCCTTCACAATATTACTGACATGCTACAGAAAACTTCATAAAGAAAGACACTCTGAAAAAATTAGGGCCTCATTTCTACAACTGATTGGGTGGGGCTACTCGAGCTGGGACTGGCAATTCAATATAGGCCTGAAATATTAGTTCACCAAACATGGTATATTATTTTAGAGAAAATTAGCTGCAAAAGAGCCTTTGAAATGGCAATGTGTTAGCTACAGCAAGGATAAGCAACTGCATGTGGGGCAGAGGCCAGTTTCTTCCCTTTAGGTCTCCTGCTGCATGCAATTCATAGAATCAGAGTTGGAAGAGGCCTCAAGGGCCATCCAGTCCACCCCCCTGCCAAGAAGCAGGAAAATTGAATTCAAAGCACCCTGACAGTGCTTCCAGGTTCATTCAAATTCTTCGCAAAATACAGACAAAAAGTGACATGTCATAACCTATTGCCATTTAAAGGACTCAAACAAAAGCAGAAGAATTTGATGGTGCTAAAGGTTATGGCAGGCCTTCTATATGCAACTGGGCATGGTCTTGTGCATTTATGGGTTTTGTGCCATAACCCCAATCTGCATATGATTTTCAGACAGAAAAAACCCCCAAAATAATACTTGTAAAAATGGGATAGCTTTGGGAGATTGGGGCCACAATAGTGGGGCACAGAGACTGCATACATCCAATAATTTTCCTAGCCCTGCTATATAGTAATTAAATATTCACGAGCACCTCTTTTATTTAGGGCAACTTAAAAACACATAGAATGGGACTTGAAAGTATTCAGTGACAACCCCAAAAAGTATGTGTGCATATGTGCGCGCCTCTGTATAAAGCCAATGGGACTTGAAAGTATTCAGTGACAACCCCAAAAAGTAGATGTGCATATGTGCGTGCCTCTGTATAAAGCCATTCGAGAGTGGGGCTCTTCACTAGCTGGGTATTTTGTATTTGTTTAATTTTTACTGCTCCCATTAATGTAAAGGAAGATATATGTTCATTTGTGAAACCAGATGTTAGCTTAGAAGCTAGCATGAGAAGCCGAAGCAAAATCTTCAAAGGAAAATCTTCTGGACCCCAATTTTAGACCTGCATTTTTGCATGCAAACATATAGTATCTCTGGATTGTAGCCATAATATTTGCCTATCAACTCGGAAGGAAACTTTGTAAGATTCAAACTATTAATATCTGTAAAAGATTATGTGAGACTTTGCTTGAAGGGTAGCCTAAAGGCAAAGAAACATGAAAAAAAAAATGTGCAGATGAAACATCAAAGGATTCAATTGTAATAGAGTCCTTCACATCATGCACAATCAGGTTATAAAGCACATTAGCTATGCACTGTATATTCCAGGACTGTCACCAATGACTACATTCCAGAGCAGGCCTGAGCAGACATTTGAAATTAAGTCTTAGTAATCTAAGTGGGGGCACTATACTTTTCAGTCTGCAAGCACTACTTTCATAAATGTACTGTACTGGAAGTGAGCACCGCACTCTGATCTGAATGCTAGCATTGAGATGCATACAGAAATATTACGGTATCTGAAATACTTCCATTTTATTGCAGTGAAAATCAGATACTGTACTTAAATACTGTAAATGAAACAATATTAAGAATATTTTGAAGAAAATTATTCTATTTGATTAAGGCAGGGCTTTTTGATGAAGGAATTCAATATGTTGGACTACACTATTAGGAAGCTCAGTTCTAGTACAGGAGTGTAATGGCTTCGATCGTAGACTGTGTCCTGTCCCACATTTTAAATACTGATGGTATTTTATATTTCAAGCAGACACATATTTTAGATTTGTTTTTTAAAAAAACACAAACATCTGAAATATGAAAGTAAGCACTATGTGTTACTTTACTATCTGTTATGAAATTGATTCTGCACATTGAAGGAAGCAATTTAACTTTAAGCTTTTTATGAATCAATTACAAAAGAACTTCTTCTCTTAGTTCGGAAAAATCAACCATTCCAGTTCCAATCTTAAAATTGACCAAGCTAGTATACCACATTGAGTCACTACATGTAAAAGATATTCCAGATTTTTTTTCCTATGCATTAAAAAGTTGCTGCAACAAACCACCATTATTCAGTGTAAGGATTATATCACTAAAACATCAACATTATTCAAGTTAATTCACAACTTTAAAGCATCTATATAATTACATTCTTGTGTTTTAAGACACACAAGAAATCTACACATCCTAATTGATCCTGCATCTCTTTAGCAATTTTTGAAACAACTGAGAATGTACTCTTTTCAGTACCAGTCAGAGTCATAGCCTACAAAACCATGTTCCCTTACCTTTAAAGCATTTTTATGTTTTCTCTGCACCTTCCTAAATATAATCCTGTTTTGTGTTCAGTGTACTGCAGTCTCTTACCAAGTTAATTTCTTGCAAAAGTTTGCATTATGATCCAAAGTCCAAATCCAAAATTCATTGAAGCCAGTGGAAGATTCCCACTGGTCTTCAATGAGTGCTGGATTCAGGCAAAAAGCTGATGCAAATTTATCATAATGAGGATTCAGCACAACTCTGTAGCTCATTAATGCAATTACTGTCCAGTAACTCTGCCTAGCTTTAGGGAACAATTTCAAAACAATCACACTGCAGAGTATTTCCCATTTTTCATCAGAGGTATTAGAGAAAGTTGGCTATTCTACCTCATTGCTCTTGCTTTGTGAAAGGGCCAAGCTATCATTTGTCAGCTCCTCATCGTCAGCACTATTTCTGCTAAGAGCTTTGGCTTTTTTCTTCTTGGATCCACCATCACTAGCAGCACTGCTGTTATCGTCGCCGTCGTCATCATCATCATTGCCTTCCTCTTCGTTGTCATCCTCATCACTTCCACTCCCATCATCTTCATCATCCTCATTGTCACCATCACTGCCCTCTCTTTGTAATGTGTTTTTCCCCTTCTTCTTCCCAGCAGTTGGACGCCAGTCATTGTCATCTTCACTGTCATAATCATCTATTTCATTTAACTCTTCCATTGATACAAAATCCAATAGAGGCCGGTTTCTTCGCAAGTTCCACTTTTTGGGTTCATTTGTTTGCTCATCGATGCCAGTATCAGTTTCAGATGGCTTCTCTCTCTCTTTTTCTTTCTCCTTTTTCTTTCCCAATTTTTCTTCTCCTTCTACATCTTCCTCTTCCTCTTCTTCCTTTTTTTCTGTTTTAATCACCTCTTTTTCTGTTATTGGCAGCTCTCCCCCACCCGAGCTTTTGGCCTGTTCTTCTTCTGTTTTTTCTTCCTCTTCTGCCAGCTCTTCCTCCAGGATATGTTCTTCTGATTCACTACAGGAGCCTTCTCCGCTATCCTTAGATCCATCTTCACTGCCATGTCCAGTGCCTTCAGAATCTGTTGAGCATATGAAAATTTAAAAAAGGCGTTCCAAAGCAAAATGAACCAAAAAAATGAATTTTAAAAGACTTGGGGAAACTAAATTAGCTAAATTAAGTATTCTTCCCTAAATAGCCTATTTTTAATCTGGCCCATTTTTAATAAGTCGTCATAGTTGTTTTAGCATTGTCGGCCTACTGATGAAGAATGTTTTGTTATGCAGCATAATTTCTGTCTCTATCACAATTAATAATACGAACAAAAAAACCCCAATATTTTACATATACTATCCATTATCTAAACTACTCTAGTGAAATATGCCACACTATAATAACCAGCAAATTAAAAACATACACAATATAAATCAGTGTTATATCATTGAGACCTACACCACAAGCAGTTATTTCCAAGAAAATTGAATTCTGATAATACAGTTACATAGGAGTCTAAAACTTAGATGGTTTTTAAAAGAAGTATTTTTCCAGCCTAAAATGCTAATGTTTTATACAAAAACAAAAATGAAGGCATTTCAAGTTGAAAACAAACTGCTTTTATGAATGCAAAATACATTCAAAGCAAACTACTACTCTGAGACAATCCTTGTACTACCATTTTAAACATAACAATGAAACTCTTATCCTGATTCTACATTTTACCTTCATGAAATACCAGTTTTGGAATTTATGCTATTTACCTGACATTAGTGTGCTTATTCCACAGTGCATTGATATCAAAATTCATTGCTGACAGTCTTATTTTGCATTATCATTCAAAATATGTACCTTATAATACAAAACTATTGTTACAAGTATCTACATACTTTAAAAAAACCATTGGTAATTTCCCCCAACTGTTTCATTTCGCTCAGGAGAATAAATATGACATGACTACATCAACTGTAAAGCCTGTATTTTTAGTCAATACATATGTTCAATTCTATTTTACCGTTCTATATACAGTGCCCTTGGCATTCACCAACAAAAAAAGAATAAAACCAGTAGAAGAGTCACTATTGCAATACTCTTTTTCTGTGCCATATTTTAGTTTTCACGTTTGAACAAAATTATCAATAGCATAAGTGAAGCATTGACAAATTTCAAATAATGCCAAAGTACTGAACTTTCGATTGGCACTGTGGCAACATACTTTTCTTCACTAAAACATCTTGGTTTTTTATTTGTGTGAAAAGTTGAACATACGACTAATACTTATTTCCTAAAGTTTGTTTTTGCTGTAGTCATGAATACTATTTCAGGATCAGTGTGAAATACGAAGTTTTTCACACGACTATATTCAATGGGATGCTGATTCACGTTACATGAAGAAATTCTACTTTTAATCACAATAATTTTAATGTAATTACAATAAAATTAATCACAATAATCACAATTTGAACAATCTTGCAGGTACAACAGAAAAAACAAAACACTCTAGTAATGAAAAAATATATTATGCACAAAGGTCAAATGGTGTTAGAGTGTGCACAGAGAACTTAAAAGAAAAATACCCACTTGACACTATACCTTTAAAAAATTCCATCTGTAGCAATAAGACAGGAGATAAACTAATTTTATACTACCACTTAATTGAAACAAATAAGTTTGAAGCTGCTTACTACAGAAGGATTTTTAAGAGATTTATCGTTCTGTTTTATAGTAACGTATTAAGAATATTACTTAAAAGAATAATTTGCTTTTGCAATTTTTTTTGTTTTAAATACTGAAAAAATAAAATAGCTAAAATCTGGCGAAAAGGTCTTTTTCAAACTATAATCTACTACTACTATATTATTTTATTTATTTATACCCCGCTTTATCTTTCCCACGGGAGACTCAAAGCGGTTTAACATAAAAGCATTTGCATACAATTTAAAATATAAAAATATACAAACATTAAAGCAGAATTAAATATAAAACAGTTTTAAAATTTCATAATTAAAAACCATTAAAACATATTCAAAGTTTTAAAAACCACAGCACCACTGAACTGATCTTTAAAACCTTTATCTTTAAAAGTCTGTCTGAATAACAAGGTTTTAGCCTGCCACCAGAAGGACAACAGTGAGGGGGCCATTCTGCCTTTCCTGGCAGGGAGTTCCAAAGTCATGGGGCAGCCAGCAAGAAGGCCTACTTTCTTATTCCCATCAACTGAGATTGAGATGGCAGTGGGACTAAGAAGGGCCTCTCCTGGAGATCTCAGGGCCCAAGCAAGTTTGTACAAGGGGATGCGGTCAGCCAAATAGTCTGGACCTGAACTGTCTAGGGCTTTAAAGTTCATAACCTGCACTTTGAATTGTGTCGGAAACAGACTGGCAGCCAGTGCAGCTGCTGTAACACAGGGGTTGTCTGATCCCTGTAACCAGCCCCAGTTGGCAGCTTGGCTGCAGCTCTCTGGACCAGCTGAAGTTTCCGATCACTCTTCAGAGGCAGCCCCATGTAGAGCATGTTACAGTAATCCAGACAGGATGAACTAAAGCATGTATCACCATGGCCAGATCTGGCTTCTCAAGGAACAGGCACATTTGCCGCACGAGTTTTAATTGTTCAAAAGCCCCCCTGGCCACTGCCGACACCTGGGCCTCCAGGTTCAGTGCCGAGTCCAGGAGGACCCCTAAATTTCAGGAGGCGTGTAAACCCATTCAGCATAGGCTGGATCCCTATTCCATGATCTGCCTTCCAACTGATCAGGAGTACCTACATCTTGTCTGGATTAAGTACAATATGTTTGCCCTCATCCAGTCAATTACTGGTGACATGCACTGGTTTAGAGTCAGGACACCTTCCTTGGCATTAGGTGAAAAGTAACAAGGAACCATATTAATTACACCGAAAAGGTTAACATTATATCATTACACAATCACCCCTTCACATTCATTGGGAATTGGTGGTACAGTATGGATGCAAAAGTAGGGGAAAGTTAATTAAAAACACTATTTATGTGTTTACCTAAGAACCCTTCCCTAGAAATCTCTAGATCAGTGCTTCTCAAACACTGCTCCTCCAGATGTTTTGAACTTCAGCTCCCACAATTCCTAACAGCTAGTAAGATGGCTGGGATTTCTGGGAACTGAATTCCAAAACACATGGCGGGGACGAGAGACAGGGCCTTTTCTGTGGTGGCCCCTCGGCTCTGGAACGCCCTTCCCATGGAGGTAAGATCAGCCTCCTCGCTGATGGTATTCCGAAGAAGACTAAAAACTTGGATGTTCAAGCAGGCATTTGGTTAACTCGGTGCAATGAATGTGTTGATTACGGATTGGTAATATGGATGATGCAATTGGACCACGATTTTAGTTAGGAGATGTATTGGATTGTGATTTACGTGTAATATTGTGTATTATGTTTTTTATGGTTTTAATTGTATACTGTGCACTGTATATTTTGTTGTAAACCGCGCTGAGTCGCCAGTTAGGCTGAGAAACGGCGGTATACAAGGACAGTAAATAAATAAATAAATAAATATGACTCTATAATCAAGATCTGCCAGAAGCTGAAGAAGATCATCTCTGGAGAGGGCCCGCATTCAGTACCAAAGTTCTATAGTCCCATAATCCCAAATCTTCTGGTACCTGCCTATTCAAAGGCCCAGCACATTGTGATTTGCTTGAGTAAAAAAGGACTTTGTCCTGGACTAAAAAGGCAGAAACTTTCTATTGTCCTGGACTTTGATATAGGCAGCCAGCAGAATCACCGGCACTAACTTTGTCTGCTTCTACACTCAGCATGATGTGAGAGAGCCATTCATCTTTTGGGCTTCCTAGCAAATACAGAAAATGGAGAAGAGGGTTTCATGTTGTGCTTAAGCAAACAGAAGCAACATGTAACATTAGCACAGTTTCTACATGCTTCAAAGCAATGTGAAAAGTCACCGGTCCTATCTTAATTTCTCTGGCACACATGCAAAAACTGGAGGAGAGAAGAAGCAGGAACGACATGAAACATCTAATAAGTAAACCAACATTTGTGTACCCTCATTTATTCTGACATTTACTTCAGTTTGACTAAACGACACCCATGCAATGAGACCTATTCACCCAAATAGCCAGTTAGATATTTTGCTTGTGTACGAACAAATGGAAAGCTCTGTACAGCAGATTTCTCTCAATCAAGTCAAGACAAAAAATATAAAAGCCTGGGTTTAAAAAAAGCCCACAAATATCGTAACACAAATGTATTCTAAACTCTATTTAAAGGCATAGTTTATTACTAAACAGTTTTTGAATCAATAAACAAGTAACTTCTTGCCTTTTACTTGTTCATTGACACCCAGAGACTGAGAGGTTGAGAACCACTGCTCTAAATAATACCACCAAACTATATAAACCACACTAGCCAATGCAGATATCATGTTCAATCTAAACTCAAAATTCTAATAAAATAAAAATCAAGGTTTCATGTCACATAACTAGCAAAACTGCTACAATATTACAAGCTTCAGAATGTTTATTCAACATCTGAAACATTAAAATTCTGAATGTACCTCAACATTCTTATGCAACAAAGTCTCCAAACTTCAATAGCCATCATTTTTGTTTATTAAAATGTTGTTCAAGGGCCAGAATGTAACCAACACTTATTCAAGAGGCTTTGATAGGCTAGCCAAGTTTTTTAAAGGGAAAAAACAAGTACTGATACCAAGCTCTTACCATTAGATTTTTTAATTATTTCAATACATTTTACACTATGGTATTTACCTTTAAAATGCCACGAAGTAAACTACCCTTACACATCTTGATAATCTTTTACCCATTAGTAACTGTTCTCAGCCTCATAAAAAAAGCAAAGGCAACTCCCCTTTGAACATATCAGAAAACCCCTTAATAGGATTATCTTAAGGTCAACATAAATTGAAAATGATTTGAAGGGACACAATAACAAAGTATATTATATAATATACAATTAGGGTAAAGTGAGAATGATTTAAAATGTTTAACTGGGAAACAGCAAAAAGGAAGAGTAATCTTCACAGTTGCTTGTAGTATAAATTTTGATATGATCAATCATTTTTTTTCTCTGTAC